CATAATTTGCCCCTTCGATCTGCTTGGTCTCAACTCACAAAGCAAACAGCGGTGATGACATTCAGATGCAAACCCAAGGAACTGTCCCGCTCTGTGCAGTTTGCTGTAGTTTTGTGTCTGATATTGGAGAGCTGCTATCTGCACCTATACTCAGCTCGGGGCTGCTGTTAGAGAACTATTTTGTCCACATAAAGATAAGTTAGGAAGGGAGGGGAAACTTATGCAGTGTGATTGTGAGGCCAGTCTCTTAAAAAATGCGATACGAGTTTCACTGATAAAAACAAAGCTTCCGTCCTTGAGGGAGCAAAGACGGGAAAGTCAAAGAAAAATAAAACCTCAGTTCCTCATTATGCATAACGGCTCCATGAAGCCACTGAGCTGCAGACTGTTTAACACATGGTTATAATAATAATAGTAATGTCAGAGTGGCGGTCATTTTTTCCCAACTATGTGTGAGGATTAGTGCCGGTGTTTGGGAATGCCTTTTGCAGTGAAGCTGATTTGCATGGAAAGGGATTCTTTTTTTCCCCCGAATGGCTCCATGACGGCTCATTTAAACACGCACAAACAGCACCAGCACACAGAGGCACTTTTGTTCCGCAGCACATAGGGGGTGCATTTAACCCTCTGAGTGAGTTTTGTGAATTAGATGGGTGTCTTTTTGACTCGTTTGCAAAAGGTTTAGCCGGCGCAAAAGCGGTGCAATCCCTTTTGTGAACCCGGCCCTGCATGTTTAGCCAAGCGGAGAAAAACTCCATGCCACCTTGTGACACTCCAGCTCTGCAGATATTGTGTTCAATGTGACGGCTCAAATCCTGCAGGATGCCTCTCAAACAGTGACGGCAGCCGACCTTTCTCTTCCTCTCTTCAAACATCGTGCCCTTTAAGATGCTTCTGACTCCGCATAATTCATTGATGGTGCCCTTCACATGAGCCTCAGACGCTGTGAATCCAAACTCTGACCCGTCTGACAGCCCAACCAGCAGACGCGCAGAGCAAGCAGGATGGATGGAAATGTCAACATCCGGCTCTCTGTGACAGGTGGGCAAGTATTGTGATTACACACTGCCTCCGTAAAAGCAGAGAACTTCCATATTTCCATATTCATGTCTCTTCTGCCTCTCGCTGACAGCTGGATACAGACTACCACGAAACAGAGAATGTGGTTTGGATGAAAAATAGCAAAAGCTAAGTTTTGCATGTCAGTATTTCCTTGGCAATGGAATAGATTTAAAGTGTTGTGTTGTAAACAAAGGCACATTTGAATGAAATACCATTGAAGAATAGGAAGGATATCAAAGAAAGTTAATGTTTGTGAAAGTTAACTTCCAGTTCACTTTAGGCCACCGCCTGCAGGGATAGGCAAGCAGGTTGGGCATCATAAGCCAGGTGGCAGGCAAATGCTGGGATCAGGCTATGTTAACCCCTGGCATCGCAGACTGGTCCTAAAGGAACTGGAGCTGGTGCAGGAGTTGGTGCATTACCATTTAGATATGGCACACCTCTGTGCAGAGAACCACTCTCAGGCCAGAATCCTGGAGAGGGGTTGGATTGCCCCCCCAATAAATGAATGTGAGATGAATCTAGCAGATTTCATATCATTTAAGGTAAAAGTAGAATTTAGTACACCTGTACACCATGTTCGTGAAGCTCAGGTTGCCTATGCACTTTCCATTTGTCAGCCCAGTGGGCACAAGTTTGACAAATCTACTTCCTCAGACCTGTCATTTTGAATTATTACACACTGCCTCTGAATGGATCTACAGCTGCATTTGTAATCAAGTACTGTCTTCCAGGTCTTCCAGGTTTGTCCACACCGACTGACATGTATGTTGACACTTGCTTTTAATCGGTTCTTCAGTAAACCGCCTTGAAAGCGCCAGAGAGAAACACAAATCCAAACCATTTCTGACCAAACTGGAAAGCGTCTGGTAGGGGATCAGTGTGCAGCTGAGCCTCATTGTCAGTCTGGCCCGTGGCCATCTCACTGTTTGGCCCCTCCATCCTATCCTGGTGTGTCTTTGTGTCTGAGAGGGGGAGATGGGATCACAGGAAGTCCCACTTTCCCCTTCTGGCATAAAAGACAATCAATAAGAAGCATTTTTCTTCATCTACCTCTGCTCCTGGTAGGTTTCACGCTTTGTTTGAGACCCAGTGCCTGCAGGGCTTCTTACACCCATCCTCATCCCTTCATCCCCAATCCATCCATTCTCAGATGTGAATCTTTAGCCTTCAGCCCAGAAGAACGTGCTTTGTCTCTGTACTTGACTTTTCCCTGGCCAAACCCTCTCGCACTCTCATCTCTGCAAATTTCTACATTAATTATTCAAGGCCTTCCAGCCTATGAATATAAATCCATTATGTCTGCCCTGCTACACTCTGCCTCAATTAAGAGATTGGGGATGGAATTATCTGGGGGGGGTGGGGGCCAGATCAGGTGATTAAAGGATTCATGAGATCTCACTCTAAAATACTGATGCCATCCTACATCCAATGCGGCGATACATACATATATGAAATAACTTATAGCTACTTGGCTGTTGTTCAACTGTCAAGTACCAGGTAGAGCTTCCACTAGTGTTTTTACATATTTTCAGCTTTGCATTTATGCAGAACACCTCGTGTTCTATCTCATTTTAAAGCACTCTGCTGATGTGACTGTACTGTTCCTGGAAGCATTGGGAGCTGAAAGGTGCTTAGTGTGATATCCTGGCCACAGAAAGATACACCTGGTCAGCAGTAGTGCTTCACTGATATTACTGGGCTAATACACAGTACTGCTGAGGGTTTATTGTGAACTCCGAAAATCTGCTTTAGGACAATTCAAGGCAACGGAGGGACGGGCCTGATCAAGCTGTAATTTACACATAAGACATGTTGCAGCTTCCAATGACTGCTCTTCACAAGTCTGATTTACTGCCTTGTGGTTCTGTTTTTACCACACATTGACAGTGGCTGGGAGTTACGACAATTGTATACATTAATATATTCATTTTTATTATTATAAAGAAAATATTAACCTAAAAATAAAACAATAGCAAAAGTAGTTTTACACTAAACAGGAGATTAGAATAACACCAGAAAACATGTCTGTCTTTTGATGCATATGATTCTTAGCAGGTCAGGAGACCCTCCTCATAATAGCGGAACCAAAAGAAACCAGGGGATACATCTACAGGAGACTGTCCATTAGCTGATGGAAACTAACCAGATATAATCAAGTTACTTCCAAGCGTTGCTAAGATACCAAATTCACAAGAATGGGATGCATGTGCAGTCAGAATGATGTTAACCTTTAACCACCGAATTCTAATCAGGTAATCCTTGAGATTCAGAGGACATCTGTGTTACATTTGAAGATTATCTATTGAGGCTTTCCTTAAATATACGTGACATGAAAGGGGGTGGGAGGAAACCCTGAATACTTGTGCTACCGTGACTCACAATGACCACATAGTTATGGTGTAAATGATCAAATATACACCAATCAGCCATAACAATATAACTACCTGCCTCATATCATGTAGGCGCTAAAACAGCCCTTGATTGACAACACATGGACTCCACTAGACCGCTGAAGGTGTGCTGCAGTTTATGGCACAAAGATGTTAGCAGCAGATCCTTTAAATCCCTTAAGTTGCAAGGTTAGGCCTCTATAGATTGGACTTGGTTGCCCAGCGCATCCCACAGCTGCTCTATTAGATTGAGGTCTGGGAAATATGGAGGCCAATTCAACACCCTCAACTAGTTGTTGTGTTCCACCAGGCCACCTTTTTCAGTGTTCTATGGTCTAGTTTTTTATTCTCTTGCCATCGTTGGCCCGCTTTGCATTGGATAGGGGTTAACATGACCAGCTGCAGCTACGCAGCCTATATGCGACAAACTGCAATGGACTGTGTGTCCTGACACTTTCCTAACAGAACCAGTATTCACTTCTTTTTTTTAGCAACTTGAGGCTGACCAGCGACTCTGTTAGAGGTCAGCTTTGGCCAGGCTCTGTACTAAGATTTCTGAAATGAACACTAAGTACCCGGGGTTCCTTTCTACAGCGACTGTCCATCAATCTCTGATGAGTGGCAGTTTCACTGTATCTAGTGTAATGGAAGTTTCCATTGTAATCTTAACCTGTCCATTTGATCCTTTGTGCTCTTTTAAGTGTCAGACATCAAGTGTCAGATTTACCGTCTGGTTTCACACAATGTGTTTATATAAGAGATGTAACCTTCAAGAAAAGGAACGTAACCTTTAGCACTTTCTTTGTGATGGACATTGGAGTCTAACAATCAAGTGAAACTCATTCCTTTTTTTGTTTGTCTGTTCTAAAGCTTCAAATATTCTCAGTTTTGTTGTTGTGTTTTATTTGAGAGAATGTCGCCACACGAGCAAAATTGTCTGCTGCCGACTTCCTGCAGTAGTATATACCCAAATGAAACCGTTTCGCTGTGATTTCCCTATTGTAACTGTATCAAAGGGGCGCTGAAATATCTATCAAGATGCATTTGTTAAAAGTAAAAGCTAATTATTGGTCCTGAATACACGACCTCTAAGAAACTCATTAAATGATAATATGTTTTTTGAAAACAGTTTGAAGTGATCATTTATCACAGAAAGTTGGGATGTTAGAATCTCATTACTGAAAGGTTTTTGCAGCACAGTGTAATGAAATCAGTCTTGATTGGCTTAAATAAAAACAACTTTTACACTATGCACATTTTCATATTTGCATCATTGTTGTTGAAACACCATCGTAGGCCTTTTTGAATCATTTGCACTTCCCAACACAAATTTGTTCGGTTGTTGTCTTTGACTCTGTTTGTTGTGGTACCACACAATCAATTTGCTTTGCTCTGGGTGTAAGCAAGCCTGAACAAAACTCAGTCCAATTTCTCCGGTTGAGTCAAGCAAAGAAGCTCCAGCAGCCCCAGTGAAGACCTCGGCAGAAGGTTAAACCAAACACTGACTCATGCATAAACAGGGACTCTGCAGCATCAGCAACTCACCAGGAATATCCTCTCCAGCTGGTCCTGGATGTCCTTCATCCCAGGAAAGGCAGCCACTCCTTGAATCATCTCAATAAAGATGCAGCCCACTCCCCTAGAAGAGAGAACGACACGAGACAAGGTGTTCACATCATCCCCGATCATAGAAAACAAAGTCATGTGTTCATTTCAAGTTCAAGTGATTCCTTTCATTGGTTAAAATCTAATGAGCAGAATACCCAAAGTATTAGTATCATCATCACAGTATCTGAAAAATGAAATTGAGATTTGAAAATGTGCAACGGTATTTTTTCTACAGACATCAAGTAATACACTTATTCAAGCATTAACAACCACTTCTCCTATTGACTCTTAATGTAGGTTAAAATCAGTAAACACTGTTAACTAGTGAGATATCAAGTACAGAAAAGGTGTGTGTGTGTGTGTGTGTGTGTGTTGGTTGGTGTGTGTTGCCAGTGCTCATTTGTCAAAGGGTTCTTGTTTCCTGACAGATTCACTTTCTGCCTCGGTGCTCCGAGTCAAAACTGTCTCAATGGAAGGAGAGAGAGTGTGCGGGGAGAAGAGCCTTCCTCAGGATTTCTACATGCCATCCATTTTAACATTCCTGAAGTCTGCTGTGAATGAAATCCTGAATCATCCATCCCCGTGACCCAGCTCTAACCTCAGCACACATATTACTATAGCTCTGTTAGCCGAGGAGTGTGTGAGAGTGTGGAGGAAGGCCAACCTCAAATGACAAACATTTGTCCTCTAAAGGGTTATATCTAGAGATTCAGATTCCTGAGCTTTCAGAATCTGACCTGACATATACTCATTTTGACTATCCCGATTTCCTTCTTTAAATAACTACGATTGACTAAATAAAAAAAAATAGTTGAAACCTTTCTTTAACAGAAATGAAATGTTATATTTATAATAAAACATCAACTGTTTAATAGGCTAACTGTGTGCAAAATGCCACTCATTCAAAAAGTAAAACCTGCTTGGCTCCCCGACTCATTCATGATTTTTCATCAGGCTGTTGCTTGGAGTGTCATACCTGTCTGCCTCTGTCTTTGTTTTTTGTTATCATTTCAGTCACTACATTACTATCACTACAGACATTAAAACACAGCTTATGCCCTGTTAAACAAGATCGATAAGGTTAAAGGAAGACTGCAACTTTTTGATCCAGTAGATGTCGCCCTTGAGCACCAACATTAAACAAAAACAAACTGCTGTTCGGTGACACCTCCGCTATCCTGAAGCCTCCGCTCTCCTCCAGCGGCACACCTCCAATCCAACCTCTCCAATTGCATTCACATGATGGAGCTATCAATTAGAACGCACCATAATTAAGATCAAGCGGCAGACAACATTGTCCTCGGCTCGAGCTGCATTTGCCTGTGTCCTGCATTGTTGTGTTAGCAGGCTAATGTTAGCGCTCTTTAGTTAGCGTGTAGCTTCACATTGGATGTAAATTTACACAGAATAACCGTGATCTAAAAATGCTTACATGACATCCAAAAAGGCAGTGAGTATGTTCTTCTTCTTTTCTCTAGTCCTTGACTTAAACAGCTTTATACACAAGGCCGTCCCGTCCATGTAAACATGATGTAAACATGATGTAAACATGATGTAAACACAGCACTGACAACAGTACAGCATGCAGGACTCACACTTCTCACTCATTGTAGACAGTCATGACTCAGAGACATTTACAGAGGATATACAATTATATGATTTCTGCTGTATTTATGTGTAAAATGTCTCACACTCTTCCTTGAAGGTATTTTTCAAACTCCAGAAAAAGATTTGCGGTCACATCAATATATTTTAACTCAGAATTTGAGATTTTAATCCATAATGGTTCAGTCATTCATTTATTAAGTAATTATGTTAATTTAATGTGCTGCTCTCTTGTTCTTTTTCTGTTGCTCATTTCCAGGCTCAGACCAAACATCAGGAGGCGTCTGAAGCTATGTGTTCTTTAACACTTGCTGTTGTTCTAATTAGACGGTGTGAGAGCTGCTGGGACTGTAAAGATCTCAGTAAATCAGTCAGTGCCTGGGCAAGCTGCACTCCTGACGGTTTAGCACACAGTAAATTAGCGGCAGTAAATACAGGCTGGTTGGCTCACAGACAGTTATTGAACCCTTATTATGGCTGAGCCGGCTGCCGTCACACAACTTGTGCATTGGTGGAATTAAAATTGCAAAACAAATCAGTCTGAAGCAGAGATGCTGAGCCACATTGATCCTTCAAGACTTCTACTTTATGACTCTGATACCTGTGTGTATCCCTCTGTGATGCACACAGGGGGTTTAAACTGATCCAGAATATTTGGGGCTTTTATTACAGTAAAGAATCCCCCTTTTTCTTTTTAGATATTCAGCTCTCCTCGTGTGCTCTTTTCAAATCTATCCTAAAACTGATGCAGCCAAGTTAAGATGATGATGGTGAAGGATGTGAAGAGACATATAACTTTTGGGTGAGCAGATGTGTCCCTCTGTCTGCAGGTAAAGGCCAACAGTGTACACATGTCTGTAATAACCTGAATGAATACTCTGCAGGTATTAGACAAAGGAAGAGGGAAAGTGGCTGTGTATGTAGAAGAACACACAACGACACTGTGTGGAGCAGTGAAGGAATCAGTTCCTCAAACTGATCCAGCACAAGAGTTCATACAAAATATCTCCTTTTTTTAACAACACACCTATAATTCAGACAACCCATGAGGGGGTTGTGAGCCAACTGTTGACAAAATTATATATTTGATATTTAAATGTACTGCAGCATGCACATTCAACATGTTTTAAAGACGGTGTTCAGCTTAAATGTTGAGTGAGTATTTCCTTTAAGTGAAGCAGATAATATGTGATTTGACACAGTCGAGTAAAACCTTGTGAGAATTGTAGTTGGTGAAGTGAACAAGATATGATCAATGCAGTTTTGGGTACTGTTAAATGTGCTTAAATTACACTCATGGCAGTGATTCCCCAACCGTTCATTAATGAGGGGTGGCCCATCCCATCTTGAACGTGACCTCCCGTCCCTCCAAAAGAAAAGCACAAAATACATTATTCATGGAATATATCATTTCTGTGCACTCCTTTTATTGCAGCAGAGCATAAATGTCTTGTGTCTTGTGGTGTGTCTGGAAATGGGGCATAAATACTCAGGAAAAGACCAGCACATTTGACTTTCATCCTTGTATTTTTTTATTTTTTTTAAAGATTTTTTCTGGTGCTTTCTGTGCCTTCAATGGAGAGATAGGACAGTGGACAGAGCTGGAAACCAGGGAGAGAGATAGTGGAGAATGACATGCGGGAAAGGAGCCACAGGAGGGATTTGAACCTGGGGCCGCCCGCCTGGAAGACCATAGCCTCCATACATGGGGCGTGCACACCAACCAATGCGACACCGGCGCCCCTTCATCTTTGCATTTTGACAATAAGAATAAAGCTGCAGGTATCCGTTGCGGTGCAGCCTATTGTAACTGAACCTGTACATTTTTTTGAGGTGGATCACACTTGAGTGATTCCTGTGTCGACTGACTGACAGACGTGTGTGAAGGGCTGCAGCTAGGTGACGCGCTAAGGAGAGTAAAAATAGAGCAGTTCCTCGCCTGTCTTCCATCACATCCTCCCTCCTCACAGATGGCAGCCTGTAACCTGTAGGCTGCTCTGATGGATGCTTCTCTTAGCAGGAAGACAGATCTGTTAGACCTTTTGGTCCTGCAAGAGATGCTTTTTCATGGAAGACTGCTCCCTTAGTGACCAGGGGTGAGTGTGTGTGTGTGTGTGTATCTGCAACTGTGTGTGTGTGTGTGTGTCAGAGAATGATAGTGGTTCTTGGAGGAATGGAGAACCACCCTGTGGATTTGCCCACCTGAAAATACCCTTGAAACAGACACAATATCCCCCTGCCTCACAGACCCCAAAGCCCCAACCCCCCCCCCAGCTGCTCTTTAATTGGATTTTGGAGATTGCAGCTGGGGTCCATGGTCCTGGTCTCTGCTGACCGCCTGTCCAGACAGAAGGGTCACCAAGGCTTGACTAAGAGCCCAAAACCAGTTTTGCTGGTAAAAGGTTTGAGAAAAAAAAGACAGAGAATGTCGAGCCCAGAGAGGGGAACAGATTCATCTTCACTAGGAAACCCTCACTGCTTCATGTCCGTTTCAAGGATTTGCTGCAATTTTGGTGAACTTAATTTGTAATCTATAACATCTAAGTGACGTAAAGACCCTTAGATTAATCTGATACAACTTCCCATATATCAGCATTCCTCAAACAGAGTTAATAGCATAAGAAAACTGCTCAGTAATATTTGTGTTCAGTGCTGTTTCTCTGTCTTCTTGTTGTTTGATTCTCATGTTTTTATTACTATTTTTTTGTTGGTCTCAATCTTTGCCAGTTCCATGTGTGCAGGCTTAAAATTGAGTTCACTTTCAACATGATCAGTAAATTAATCATCTTAAATTCATAAAGCAGAAAATACCAATGTGGAAGCAACATCACAAAAAGCTGGTATCAGACCAAACATTACTCACTAGAGAGATCTACTGTCTGTTGGCTAGTACATAAACTCTTCATGCTAAGATCTTTACATTTTCAATAATACAGAGGAAGCAACAATTGACCGTTTTGATAGTGGTAGCGGTAGATAATTGACAGAGAGTGAAGCAGGACTAAAGAAACACTCTGTTTTAACTTGTAAAAGCAAGAATATTTCCATTCGATTATCATGCTGGTTAGCAGTTAGCTTGACCACACCTACAGTATATAATTGAAAGGATTGTCAGTCAGATAAAAAACTACCAATCCACCCCTTGCTCCCTATCTCTCTTCCTGCATCGTTTCCCCCGTTTCCCCCGTTTCCCATTTTCAAGCCCTGCACAGTTTTAGTCAATGGCTGGCTCATCATGAGCCTGGATTTGTTTTTTCTTGCCACTGTAACTTTTACTAAATGTTGCTAAGCTGCTCATGATGGATTGAACCGGGTCTTTGTGACATACCAATGAGTATGGTATTTTACCTGCTTTTTGTAAAGTGTCTCGAGATAACACTTGTTATGAATTGGCTGATATAATACGATCTATGATGAATGGTCTAAAATGCAAAGCACAATATGTCCAACCGCTTTTTCTTTTCAGGTAATCTGCACATCATTTGGGTGTTAAGAAAAATCTTTGTATTATGTTATTTTTTTTTAGGTATATGACATAATTGTTTGGTTCTCCCCAAAATACAATGCATATGTTGTCATCTCATAGCCAGACCATCATAACATGTCTAGGGTGACAGGTCGTACAGATAAGCTCAAGTAAGTTAAAAACGACTTTCTGATGTGTGCAGGTAAATGAGAATTCTCCATTTTGGTTTTTATTAGACCTATCAGCTGCCTTTGATCATCGCTCTGATTACTGTAATCGCTTCATTGGCACCACTCACACCTTCATAGCATTCTGAAAATGGTCTGAAATGCAGCAGCTAGATAATACTGGTCGTCAGTCTCATATCACTTTGGTTCCTGCCTCCTTTCATTGGCTTCCAGTAAAGTACAGAATACAGTTTTAAATTATTTTTTTTATTCACAAGGCCCTGCAAGCCCTGGGACCGGCGTACATAACAGACTTACTGAGCCAATTCCATCTGATCTGGGCTTTTTATCTCTTCCTCACTCACAGTTCAAATCAAGAGGTGATTGTGCTTTTGAAGTGGCAGCTCGTAAACTCTGGAACATCAGGTCTGCTAAAGCTGTAATCGTTTTTAAATGGATGCTAAAAACTCATTGACATTGATCAGTACTCTCCTGCTGACACCATGATGTGATATGTGTAATGCATGTATCTTTTTATAATTATATGTATTTGTGTTTGTGAATTTGAAAGTTTGTCTTTCTGTCTGTACTTTGTGATTTTATTTGTGCACTCTCTCCTGTAAGTAAAGCACTTTGTTATATACAAATGCAGCTGTTCAGTTTCACACAGCCCTGCAAAAGTTCACTTAATTGTTTTTCACACATTTAATTGTGTGCATGTTGTTTCATCTTTAAATGTAGAGGCTCCGTCTGTATCTATAAGAAGTGTGCATGTGTGATATTTGAACCTGTCCAGGCCCACACTGTGAGTGGGAGGAATAATCCAGGAGTTACAGGGTGAGACCAAGGAGAGAAAAGTATATGGAAGAAACTAAGATCCAAAGCAGAGATTCAAAGACACAATCTAACACACTGCAGAGAACACACCCTCAGGTCAGGATTTGCTACGGATAAGTGGGTTTTAATGGGTTTTTGTCTTCCTTCTGATTTATTTACCGTTTTCCGCCCCGAAGGAAGAAAAAAAAAACTGATTCCGATCTTAACTGGACGACCTGAATAAATCAAGCAGAAACTACACCAGGTGTGTGATGTGAATGAGGGGGATCTCAGGGTCAGGGGTGAGGAGTACCCACCACATGTCCAGGCAGGTAGAGTAGTCTGTGGATCCCAGCAGGACATCAGGAGGCCGGTACCACAGGGTCACCACCTCATTGGAGTAGGTATGGCTGGGGACTGACTTGGCCCTGGCCAGGCCTGAGGGAAACAACACAACAACACAGTGTTAGAAATGATTATCATTGACTGACCTTCACCAGGCGTGCAAACAAAGCTAAAGAGTGGAGAGGAGCAGCAACAGTCCCTGTAGGAGGCACTCTGACATCTGGTTAGACACAGAACAACACAAAGAATACAAAACACGTATTAATGAAATGCAGTCATTAAAGCATATAGCTCAGTGTTTCCCCTAGGTTTACAGCGTTGGGGGGGTGGGGACACGCCGACATGCTGACACGGCGACACAAACACTTGAAGGAATCTTGGTGTTCATGTGTTACTTTTAATGACAGCTGTAGTTTTCTATCGGAAAGGTATCCTTAAATGACTTCTTTCCCTGATTTCCGACTCTATCCACCATCCTATCTCTACAATAAAGGCACAAAAAGCCCAAAAATAAATCTTTAAAATACCAATATAATGGTAGGGGAAACACTGTAGCTGGAACAAGACAACAAGAAAATGCTTCTTAATGCAAACAGTAAAACAGCCCAGAATGATCAAATTCAAGTACAACAGGAAAAGTGAAACACACCTAAATAAAGCAGAAAAACATGTACTATCAACGTTTGGGGTAAACAAAAACATGCACATTAAAACTCGCTTGAAATAATCAATTGATTTTCAAAATAAATCATTGTCATTATTGGATCATTAATTGCACAAATTGAGGATATTTTACCACATTTTTCTATATCTTTTATTTCGCTCAATGTCATATTTCTCTTTTTCTTTCCAACATTATAATTTAGTTTATTTTGTATGTCTTTTTTTTTGTTTTGCTCAGCATCACATCTTTTACTGGTGTTGATGTTATGAATGTTTTTGTTTCTGACTCTGTAAACACTTTGAATTGCTTCATGCATGAATGGTACTCTATCTATAAATAAATGAATGCCTTGCCGAGCCTAGACAATGTAGTCCAGTCATTGACAAAAATTGGAAAATAAATTCTTATTTTAAAAAGATAACTTCACCTCTCAATACTCGATTTACCTTAGGACAAAAACTTCCATTTGCGCCCGTAGACTGTAACAAACATGGACGTGGTCTCGGTGACGTAACCTATTGGATTTTGAATAGTCGCCTTGCAGCAAACGATGACAGATGTCATGTTGGAAATGCAATCTCAACCAGACTTCAATTTAACACCAGGCAAAGAGGTAGCGGTAAGGCAGGCCTTCAGCCTCCTGGAAAACCGCTACAAGGTGTCAACATGTCAGTCAACTCAGCCACGCCCCAAAGTATGCATAAAACTCAATGACTTCAAGAATTTAAAATGGTTGAGTTATAAAATAAATCCACCGCTATGCAGTGTGTGCCAACAAAGAACTGATCTACTGGTAGCCAATGTGTGAAACAGGCAGAAACATGTTTTGTTTTTGGTAAAAATTGGAATTTGAATATAGCACCTACGGGGGATTCTTTGAATTTTGGAGCCAGCCTCAAGTGGACATTTGATGAACTGCAGTTTTTTTTGCATTTCAGCACTGGATTCCTTTTTGAACACCAGGGGTTGCTGTCTGTATGTGAAGAAGGATTTTGTTGGTTTTGTCTTTATTTAGTCAAACTGCAACAATCAGCCGTATGTTTTGGCTGTCTCTGTCAATAAAAAGTCCTAAAATAGGCTTGTTGAAACTGATTCTAAATCAACTTATTATCATGCAAGAAAAACACACAGCACTTAAGTTCAATTGTCTTCTTGGATCCATTCAGGGACATTACATAGGCCTAACGATAAAGAGACCCAGGTCTCCATGTGGTAATGGAATGGGAAGTAATCTGGAGCCAAGTGTTCATAATAAGTTGTTGATAATAAACATGTCTGGCTCCTGGAGTTCTTTAGGGGGGCTTACCCTTCTTAATCACTGCAGTGAAGGTGTAAATTTAACCACTGGAGGGGTTTAAAAGATTTGTTTTTCCCTTGACTATTCAAGTGTGCAGGAAAAAGATTGTGATGCTTTAAACATTTCCTCTCAAAAAAATCTAGGAAGCTTGCAATACTGACGCAACAGTCAGTGCAAACTCCACTTGGCAGAGCCGTCATTGGACTGACTTATGTACATTCAACCGCGACAAGCCTGAGATTGCCTTTTCAAATGGAAATTATGATGGAAGACCTTTGAGGTTTTCGTTGACCTGAATGACGTAAATATCAGACACACAAACCCAGACGACCCCAAAAAAAAAAAAAAAAAAAAAAAATCAAGTTTCTATCAAGTAAATGTGACATCATTGAAGTATGGTTCATCAATACTGACACTACAGCCGGCTACTTTTTAAGCCTTTCATTTTAAACTATTACAAGGCTGAACAAGAACCACAAAAAAAATCTGTAGGATGACAAGAAATCAGATGAGTTGGGTGGCCAGTAACAGTGCTCCCATGCTAATGGTAGAGCAGAGTGCATATGCAACGAGCTTTAATGAGGCTGTTGGCATTATCTCTTGTCTCTTCCCAAGTGGTCTGAGGGCTTAATTAAAGCATTTAGCTTGGTAAAAAAAGGACTTCCTGCCCTGCTGCTAGTCCCCGGAGAGTGGGAGGGAGAAGGGCAAAGAGGAGGATAAATGAGAGGGGGGAGGGGGGTTTTTACCATTTCCTCGCGCTAGAACAGCCACAGGAGAAAGGAGTTTTCAGCTGGCGCTCATCACAGCCGATCACTGTAATTTCCACACAGTGATCTAACATGGAATACAAGGCATCATCACTGAGAGGCTATCATTTTCACGACAGGCGTCCTTATGTGTGTGGTGTGGAGCTGAAGAGAACAAAGCATGTCAGGAGACTCTGGAGGAAGTAAAACTGTTTGTGTGAACACCACTTAGCCTCCTACATTTCCCAGCATGCCTGTTGACATTGCAGGAAAAATAAAACCCTATTGAAACGTACACGAAGACACACAGAAACTAGCAATTATTGTAGATCGAAATATGTTGTTGCATATTATCTTATCTGGCTTTATGACTCTCCTCCTGACCTGCACAATACCAGAAAATATAGCCCTCCTTTTAACACCATTGAATACTGAACCATATCCATGATTTAAAATATGTTAAAATATGCATTTGTACTACATGGTGCTCCAGATGTAGGATCAATGTACAGTAATGATGTGAAGCGTGTCAGTCACAGTAAGCAAAACACACAAAGCACCATCTTAGTGTAGTGAAGCTTCATCTAATGTAGAGTAACTCATATCTTGGCTCGCTTCATTTTATAAGAAGCTTTCCCAACACTGGAAGTGATGTCATGATTAGTTTATGGATAGGACAGTGTGGACACACAACAGTGTGGTTCCTTAAGTAAGAATCTCATTCATTTTCTCCACAGTGGATTTGATTATTAAATGGTAAATGGACTTGAGCTTATATAACGCTTTTCTAGTCTTCCAACTACTCAAAGCGCTTTTACGCCACATGTCGCACGCTCCTGTAGGAGACACACATTTGTATGATATCAACCTCATTTGAAGAAAAACAAGATTCATTCAAGACATAAGGGCTAAGAACTACGCTACCCATGATCAAAGAGTGTCACAGCTATGTCTCTGATCGGTTGAGTTTGCTGTTACCATGGCAATATTTCCCGCCCCTCTGCAAAGTATGCGAAGAGATACTTTTGCTAGCAGGCTAGCTGGTAAATTAGCGAACAAGAAATCAACTAATAACCGTGTCATGTAGCAGTGAATGTAGTTTATATATTCATACAACACAAACTACAAGATAGTACAACACTTGTATTAACAGTATAAATACTATGACAACAACTAAAGTTACATTTAAGAAGAAACTATATGATTCCCAATGGATTGTGGGATGGGTAGTTCCTTGACTCCATACAAAAATGATGTAGTCCTGTCCCTTTTCCTCAGTTTTTCCATGTTGTTTTGTTGCTAAATTAAATGTACTACAGCCATGAGTATTGGGGCATCTGGTCGTCTCGGTTCCAGGCTTGAATCTCTTGATATGAGGATTTTAAGAAATGTCACCGCGGTCACCGTGGAGCTCCATTTGGTTTTTCATGGGATCGAAGTGATTTTTCTTCAATCACTTCGATCCTGTAGTCAAAGACATGTTCACCAAGATTTCAGATTTTCACAAAAGATGACAAAACAAACGGTTCTTGGCTAAGTCATTTCAACATCAATCATAAAGGAATAAGCAGAATGAACATTACAACTCTAATTTGGTTCAAACAACAAGCTTGTGCACAGCATGTCCTCCATCATCTGTTTGTCCTCCATCCTCCTCCGGCTTTTACAAACTAAATGAAGTAAAGCCCAGTTCTCCACCCACAGACAGCTTGGAGGCGACTGAAGTGTCTCAGCTCACTGTGTTCGTGGGAAACTTTCAGCTGTTTGCTCATGCTGGCGCGCGTAAGGAAACCGGGTGACGCGATGAGAGCGAGGTGCAAATCAAACGTTGGTAGTTAGACACGGATTGATTTTGTTTTTGTTGGTGGTTTCCGTGTGCTCTGACATTTGGATCACCTTGTGCCGGTTATGAAGGAGCTACGTGATGATGACACGAGGAAGAGACCCAGCCCTGACCTTCACCCTCAAAGCCCCACGAGTCCGTCTGCAGAGAAGGGTACTACTTCAAAGCACTGACCTATGGCACCACACACACACACACACACACACACACACTGCCACACACACACCTGCAGTCAGCTTCATCCGCAGACCTGCTATCCGGTGCAGCTAGCAGTGGGAGGAAGGTCACAGGTGAATAATACATCATACACTCACATAGGGACAAGGTGGGATGGAAACAGAGAGAGGGAAAAGTGAAAAAGACTAAAACAGACTCTGCTCCCGAGGGGAAACAACCCACTGCTCATTCTGATTAAAAGCGGTTTGTAGCCTAACTGCTTCTCCTCCTCCTCCTCTCTAACGTGCAGCGAGAGATGAGACGATAGAGAGATGTACACTTTTCTGCCAGAATGATTCAAAAAGCGGCAGGAACTATCACTCCTTT